ATAAGTTTTAACATTTTCTACTTTCTACTTACCACACCGCCAACCCATTCCGTAGGCTTCAACGTTGCAACGTCGTATACAGTAGCGAATTGATTTCCCATTGATATTACAGAATATCTGTATGAATCATTAGGATTAATATGTTGTCATGAAATATTTAAATATCACTCACAAAACAATATATTTCACTTACCCCGATTCTAACTCGCTATTCCATAAATAATCACAAATTGCAGCTTCGATGTCATCAATTCCGCTTGGAATATCCGCTTTTTCAACCTACAATTTTGCATACAAATTTTTGTCACAACAACATAATAAAAATCAAATTAAGTATTCTTTTATTAAACTTACCTTCTGCTTCTTCTTCTGGGGTGCAGGACATTCCGAATCCAAAACTGCTGCTATAACACTCTCCGGTGTATAAATGACATCGACTTCCTTCCTCCTCATTTCTTCCATCTCTTCTTCTTCCTCCTCCCTCTTTTCTTCTTCATATTTTTTCAGTTCATCGTACTTTTTTTCTACATAGCTCTTCATCTCTTTTATTTCACCCTTCAATTGAGCTCCTTCATCCGAGTATTTATCAACCACCCCCTTCACCCCGTAAGTTCACTCCTCAAATCCACAACCTCCTTCACCACTCCCTCAAATTTTTCTCCCGTCACCATCTTAATATCACCCCTTAACACCCCAACTTCTTTCACCACTTCACCCCTCAACACCTCTACTTCTTTCACCACTCCATCTATTTTCCTTCCACTACCCCCTTATGCCTCTCGAGTGTATCTTCGACTCTCTCGAGTTTCTCTACGACTTGATCAAGTTTCTCTTCGACTCTTGATTGTCTTTGCATGATTTCAAATTGGATTTTTTTGATATCAGCCAATTCAGACATCAAAATGTCGAAGTTACTCTGTTTTGCTTCACCGTCGTCCCACTCACCGTCATCCCCCAATACAACCATCCCTCCTTTCTTCTCCTCTGCCTCCACTGCCTCCTCTACATCCTTGCCAATAACCTTCAAAATTAAATTACAATAGTAAGACATTGATTATATTCTTAATATTATTTAATTACATTTATTACCATTTCTTGCTTCTTCCCTCTATCTAACTTCAACTTCACCATCACTCTAACCACCTCTTCCTTCCCCCATGCACGGATGCGTGCCACTCCGGTTCTTTCATAAGCCGGCACTGCCTCACAGCCCGACCAAAAATCGAACAGTGCAACCTGCATTTATAATAAAATTTATATTTTTATATAAAAACACAAAAAAGTGATTCAACTCATTTACCTCTAAGATTGCTATGCACCCTTTGAGGTATCTCTGGCTGCCCTTTTTAAAGGTGATGATTGATTCAATCAATCTCGAATGGATATATTCAGCCCAATTGAATTCACCCTTCAAGCCTTCATCGCAAATGAGCTTCATATATTCCTTGTTCGTTGACGTATCACCCGTTGGACAAAGAAATATCCCGACAAGGTACAATAGAACTCGGGCCTTCAGCTCATCCCCCCAGTAAGATCCACTTTTGATATCCTCTTCAACTTCAGCATATGTCACCTTATGATTCAAACCATATTTGGAGGCAAGTGCTTTCCAGTTCTTACTCCTACAGACTTCTATAACACTTTTGCCTTTGTTTTGTACCCCCAATACGGCTGCAGCAGTCGATACCCCCAGAGGGAATGAATAATCACCATACTTAGCCATACATTGACTGACGTCAAATTGTGCCATCAAGGATCGACACAATTCCCTCCGAATAGGTCGATCTCTTACTCCGATCAACGATCCAAAACCTATTTCTCCCAGCACATTCAACTGACCCTTCTCCTTAAGGTGTTTAATTAATAAATTCACCCTTTTAATGCTGCATCTTGTCGACACTTCCTACATTTTTTAACAATATATAATGTTATAGTTCTTATATATTTTGTATCAACGTATTTACAAGTTTAATGAATACCTTATTTTCATGTGCTTTCCTCCGTTCTTTGTATTCTTTACTATCATTCCTTGACTGTGTGATGTAAGGTTCCTTTTCAGCATCACTCATTGAATTCCATTTGGACCTCACATCTTTTTTCACCTAATATTAAACATAAACGTTTCTTAATCAATACATTAACACTAAATACTAATACTACTCAATGTCAATTTCATTTTACATACCGAACCGCTCTGTGTGCCATCTCCCTTCATCCTTTTGCATTCGGCCATACTGTTAACATTTAAAATTTGTAATCAATTTAAAGTTTATCGATACTTTAATCCAATTACCATTTCAACAATAATAACAAAAAGACATTGATACTTACTAGAAGTACATATATCCACCCTTTGGTTGCTTTCGAGTCTCGGCCTCAATTTCAAAGTCATCTGCTCCACTAACAATTTTCCAACCCGTTGACTCCATTTTTCCTTCATATATCAGTTTACGCAAATCAAATTATTTTGTTACATACACTTTTCAATATACAAATATAGATAACTACTCTTGTGGTAAAACGGTTTTCTTCAAAAGAATTTGAATGGCCACACCAAAATGTGTCGGCACATTTATACAACCTATAATATCATTTTCTACCTATAATATTTAATAAAAGTATCGACATTTATATTTTTCCTTGAATATCTATTTCTACCTGCAATCGGTCCCAAATGCTTCCTTACTCCAAAACCCCAAACAACACATAAAAAACCCTATCGCGATTACTGTAATAATAAAAAATTAGGGTTTCGACAACATACTTTTCGATTCGACTGCAGCAACAAACAAACAAACTTCGCTTTAGAAACGCCTTCTGAAATGCAGCAACAATTACTCTTCGATTTCAAAAACTCGTCCATTCTATCTTTTTTCAGAGGATATTTAGCTATGGCCTTTATATTTTCATCGGATATGTTATTTATATTTAATCGATACAAATACAAAAGTGTCGATACTTTTATGACAGGTGTCGATACTTTCGAAAGGATAATTACCTATTTCTTTGAAAGTGTCGATAATTTATTACACGTACTTACGAAAGTATCGACACTTTCAATATATCCGGTATCATTTACCGGTTTTATCATTTTGATACCGGTTTTATCATATTTTTACCTGTTATATCGTTGTGGATCGATATATTTTTTTAAAGTATCGACACATTATAGGCGCTATAACTGCTTCTCTTTTAAATTCACAAAGTGTCGATCCTTATATAACGTATCGACACTTTTAAATTTACCGGTTTTATCATTTTGTTACCGGTTTTATCATATTTTTACCTGGTATATCGTTTTGGATCGATATATTTTTTAAAAGTATCGACACTTTTTAGGATTTATAACTGTTTTTAAAGTTATGTAATTTATGTTTCAATTTATTTAATAGTGTTTCATGTTTTCCACCTACAATATTAATTTAATAATTTAATTTACACAAAATTTTATTTGATTGTTTTGATATTTTATAAAATATTATTTAGAATTTAAATTTAACAATATTAACCAAATATAATAATAAATATATTTTCAACAGTGAAATAAGTATGGACACTTTTATAAAAATGATATATACTTTTTTTAAAGTTATGTAATTTATGTTTCAATTTTTTTTAATAGTGTTTCATGTTTTCCACCTACAATATTAATTTAATAATTTCATTTACACAAAAAATTATTTGATTGTTTTGATATTTTATAAAATATTATTTAGATTTTAAATTTAACAATATTAACTAAAGATAATAATAAATATTTTTTCACAGTGAAATAAGTATAGACACTTTTATAAAAAGGATAGATAATTTACAATATAACAGGTAAAAATATGATAAAACCAGATTCATTATGACAAAACCGGTAAAATTTACTTGATATGTTAAAAGTATGGACACTTTTATAAAAAGGATAGATACTTACCGATAACCAAAGTTTACCGGTTACCAAATTTTTTAATAGTTTTTCATATTTTCTACCTAAAACATTATTAGTTGTCAACATAATAGGTACCGCTAAACCGAATTTATTAAATACATTTTAATGTATCCGGTAATGTTGTATATTAGCCGTATATTAACCCGCCTTTCCTGAGACATTTCTTATTATGATTATATGTGTGTTAAGGGTTATTATAAAATTTAGAATCAAGATTGATTGAAAGATATGGAATCACATTCATCATTTTATCTCTCTCTCACACATAAAAAATGAAGATTTTAATAATGGTCGGTGTTGTTTAATCATTGAATATATAAAAAGATATTGCGTGTGGCCATCTACCAAGAACCCAAGGCCTAGAAGTAAAGGAATTTGAGTTTACTTGTAAAAGTAAAAGAAAACAAAGAATCCAGGCAAAGGAGTTGGACAAACTAGAAAGCCGAGTATTAGGGAAGCGGCTGTGCTTAATTACAGAGAAAGCAACGACAAGAGGACAAAGTGCCCGCAATTGCTGAAATGGAGTCTGCTTTGCTGACTGTAATTTCAACACCCAGACCTTTAATTACCATTTCGATTGAAAAGAACTGGAATCACAAATCTGAAAAGAGATTTGTTTATGATATAGGCATGAGGGAGATTGATTTGACCCACTTTATTATAATCTTAAACAAATACATATGGAGATGAGGAAAGAGAGGTGTTGAATGCTCTAAATCGTACCAAGAGGATCATACAAACAAATGGCTGGTGGTGGGTTGGATTTGGGGTTGTCAAAAGCTGGGAGGGAGGCTGGGAGGGGTTTGGTTCCTTCCACGACTCCTATTTTCCTTCTTTTTCTTTTGGGGTTCGCCATTATTTATATATTTTATTGGATTTTCGAATCTTACGTTCGAGATATTATTAGTATACATGTTCATAGCTACTAGATCTAGGACAGCGGATCTACATATGCTTTAGGGTGGACACTTGAGTTCTAATATTTTTCTTTTACTAAATTATTCTTATTATGTTTAAAGAAAGGGAGAAATTTCGTAGTAATACATAAATATTAATGCCCACAATCATGTTGGATGGCAGCAATCCTCAGCTAACGAAAGCAACGCGTCGAAGATCGGGAGGAAGCCGACCGACACAATTTCTTCTTGGGCTTGTCAAAGATTCCTGGTCCGTAAGTTGAAATGAAAATCTCCACAAGCAAAGGAAACTGCAGAAATGCGAACAGAGTAATCGGCATACTAGCCAGCAAGATGATCGGAAACGAAACCCACGCTATTCTCTCCCGCAGAACAATGTACAACGCCACCCCAAAGCTTATCATCATGGTCGCCAGCGAGAAGAAAAGCAAAGAAAGTCCGACCATCAGTTTCGTCGGCACCGTCTTCAGGAAATCCTCTTCCCTATATCGAGACGTCAGTATTCCCAGGAACATCAGCAACGACGTCGTGGAGCTGAAAAGCGATAACGCGTCGGATATTATGAAAACCAAGAAGGAGTTTCGGTTCAAGTAGATCGGTACGCCGGAGTTATCGTATCCGCCAGGGGCGGTAAACACGGCCGAGAACATAATCGTAACGATGAGAGCGGTGACCACGGTGCATGACTCGGCTGTGTCCTTTGTCCATTGCTCCCCTTGTTCCACTAGTTTCTTATGATGGTCCGAGAACAATGCTCGTGGTGTTTTGAAATGGTTGTTGATCATCTCCTTGTACTTGGGTTGCACAACTCTCTCCACTTCCTGCATTTAGATCAATCCTATGAAAACATATAAGAAAATCTAGTGTATACATGTAACATGTTTGCTGAATCGGTCACCTTGAACCATTGAAGCTCCCTTTGCATCTGCAGAGCCGCACCCGAAACTCGATCGAGCTGAGACGAAGGGGCTAAGAACGCTGCCTGATGTAACATGTTGTTATAGTCCTTATCCCAGTGAGTAGCCAGGGAGTGTTGTTTGGCACCCATTTTATATATAAGGCTGAAAATCTTTTCTTGGCGTTCGGCCGCCGCAATGAAGAATATGTTCCGGTCTTTGTCGTCGTAGAACCATACCACTTCGGGATAATGCTTCATAATCTCTGTGACGAACTCCACAATCCCTTGTTTGACGGCCTGGAATAATGATTTTTTCACCAGAGCTTCCAGTTTTATCTCGTCTTCCAAATTCGATACCTCTCGGCAGATGCACGTTAGAAGCTCTTTGGCTTGAAGATGTGTCAGCTTTAACTCGTATATTCTCGTAAAGCCCGGTACTGATGGCGAGAACTAGATTAGTCAGGCTAAATCGAATACGAAAGGCAAAGTTGCTTGTTTCTTACCAGATAGTTTTAAGCCTTTCCAGAAAATTTTTGCTAGTTGGTGAAGAACTGCAAAAATGAAACTAGATTTTCAACACATGAACAAACTTGTTCATGTTGTGGATCTAAAACAATAATGCTTTTACATGATAATGTACCTCGTTTAGTGAAGCTCCTTCGATGGGGTGCACCCTCGTGAGGCCTTTCGATGTCTCCCGAAACGATGAGAGACATCTTTTCCGGATTTAAATGAATACCTGAGATCAAGATAATTCAATCAATGCAACGACTATGTATCGAAAATTTTCCGTATCGTTTGAACCGACGACGAGTTACCGAGTACCAACATTTATAAGTCCAGCGCTTCCAAAATGAAAGCAGAGTTCCACTTGGGAATGCAGATGGTTTTTGAGCCAATACTTGCAGAGCTGTGTCTTTATCGGTGTCTTCGGCAATTGCCAGTTGAGGGTAGTGCTGGAGTAGATCCAAAGCAATATCTAAACAAAGGAACAACTAATGAAACGTTGTTTTCGAACAAAGGGTCGGAGGCTAGGGATGTTCACCCGGATGACCTGTCTCACACCTCCGACCCTCTTACTTGTATCACAAGTAATCAAAGGAGATGATGAAAAAAGAAAACAATCCTTTCGTTTTTTGCGTACCATAAAATTCATCCATAATGCAAGCGGTAAGAAAAATAGCTCCATGGTTTGTATTTCTGGGATCAAGCTCTTCTATGGGAGTCTCCAAGTAAAGATATTGCACTAAATCTCTATGTCCATAGAGAGCAGCAACAACAAGAGGGATCTGATCATAATCATTCGAAATCTTAAGCAAGTCTCTATTCTTTTCCACCAATAACTCGGCAATCTCCGTGACTCCTCCGATGGCGGCGAAATTAAGGGCCGTCGAACCGAGTCTCTGTTTAACCGCTACATCTTCTGCCGACATGCGCCCCACCAACTCCTCGACTATGTCTATGTGACCGGCTAGGACCGCGATGTGAAGAGCAGTGTCTCCGTCCGTGGAAAGGCTACCGTACAATGCATTGGGATACTGATCCAGGAACTTCTTGGTGGCTTCCAAATCACCACTATCCACTGCTTTGTACAATGGAAGATGTTCAGTGGTATTGCTGGTTGACCTCCTGTAAGGAGGGGCCAAATCACCATGTGTAGCTTCCAGTGGCCTCATTTTCTTATGGATAAACAGCCTATTTTTGAAAAAAAAATTGAAAAATTCTTAATATTATGTAAGAACAATGTAATGAAAACCCAAAGCAAAACTAAATCTCCATATGATCATCCGTAAAGAAAAATGCATACAACATACGATTTCATTATATGATCACTTACAGGCTATATTTTCCAGGCCTTTTGCTCTGAAAGCATGAACTGAATGCACTCAGATATCGGACAACCCAAAAGAATATATAAAGAAACAAGGAGATAATCTCAGTCGTTTATTTTCCCTCATCCAACGATCCTAATAAATTATAAAATTAAAAAGTTTTACACATTGTGGACGTATATGTTTATATATGTATGTCCCTTGGAGTAGTGTTACAACTGTGTTTAATCCCCACAAGCAGTAGCTTCTTCTACTTTACTCTACAAAATGCTAACATTCTAGTTGATGAAATTGCTTTTGTGCCTTACAAGTATAAACAAAGAATAAGTAATAGGATATTGAAGAGAACTTGGAGTACAAGTTTAAAGAAGAAGAGAGAAGAAAGAATGCAAAAGGGAGAAAAAGGAAAAAAAAAAGAAGAGAAAAGAAGATATTGTTTGATTTCTTGTTTCAACTCTTTCACAAAACTAAATACAAAATAAATCTCTTCCAAACGGACATTATGATACAGCATGAAGGGTTTCAGGTCCCTCGATTATAGAGTGTTATATTGTTGAGTCACCCGATTATTAAAAGTTATAAAATGACTGTCTGACTATTCATATGTTTTTGAAATTCTTCATTTTGTTAAAAAATTAGCAGTCATATGAACTGGACATTATTTTGTTGGCTGTGATATGATAACAATCATAATTTAATTATGTCTACTAACACCATCGTTTCTTTTAAGCACTAACCCGATATAGCTCAAACGGAGTTTGGATTAGATTTTATCATATGTCAGTTAATATATTAACATCCATCTCAAATTATAATTGATTTTTTAAATGAAAATGACGAATTTGAAACATATGAAATAATTAAATGATAATCCTGTAACTTTCAATGATAGAGAACTCAACAAAATAATGTCCTATAATTAGAGTTTACCCAAAGTTTTGATGAGTCTATTGAATTCTTCAATAATTTGAATATAGGTCGTCCTAGAAAACATGTATCATAAACTGTTGCGTTATGCATATGTATAATGTATTCATGAAATCAAGTTTCTAGTCTTGTGGTAAAATACATTGATGCTATATTTGGAAGATACTAATGGCATTGACTAGTCTTAATCTTCGTGTTTTCCAAAGTCAAATAATGTCTGCCCCAAAGTGTTCTACCAACAATTTTGGTCCTCTCTTTCCCTTCTCCTTCCCCCGCGAAAAAATCCACCCTTTCTTCGCCGCTCATCATCACCCATGGATTCTCAGTTCCCCGCCGGCGGGAGCGTCCTTTACAAATCCAAGGTGAAGATACTAATTTTTTACCCATATTATTATTATTATTATTATTATTATTATTATTATTATTATTATTATTATTATTATTATCATTATTATTATCATTATTATTATTATTATCATTATTATTATTATTAAATATATATTAAATACATATATAAATAATTAATTACAGGACCAATTACAACTGGACCGGCCCAGTTACAAACAAACCAGAACCGGTCCAGACCAACCAGAAACCCTAAACATTTGGGGTTTCAGTTAGGGTTTCCTAACCCTAATCTAGCCAGCCGCCTCAGATTGACCGTTGGATCTGGCAAGATCCAACGGTCTAGATGGCTCCAGATGGAAACCCTAGGGTATGATACCCTAGGGCCACGCGGCCGCCGCTGCTGCTCTCGCCGCCTCCGCCGCTGCCACGTCCCAACCGAAGGCTCCAGAAGACCCAGCTGCCCTCCACACGCCATGGCTAAGGGGTGAGTCACCACTGGTAGTCCGGTGACTCACCAAAACCCCCTCTTCGGACCGGTCCGATGGCCACACCGGTGGTGGCTATAAAAGCCACCACCCGAACCTGAAAAAAAAAAAAGAAAAAGAAAGAAGAAGACAGAGAACAGATCCCAGAGAGACAAAACCGAGGAAAAAAAATATACAAAATACTACCAACGATCTCAGCAGCAAAGAAACAGAAAAGAAAGAAAAAGGAAGAAAAGAAACTTACCGAGGAAGCCCCGACCACCGGATCTCACCGGAACCTTCGAAACACCGAAGGTACTTTTGTAGATTCGCTCCGATTAGGAGCTTTTTAAGGAAAAAGAACACCGGAAACGTCCTTAGGACGTCCCGATCTATTTAATGGTGTAAAAATAAAATTTTCCGGCCACCGGATGCGGTGGCCGGCGATGACGGTCACGGCAGCAGACGGTTGCCGTCCGGTGACCGGCTTCCCTCCGATGAGGGAATCTAGAGAGAGGTCAGAGCTCTCTCGGCTTGAGAGAGAAAGAAAAAAATAAAATGAAGGCTGGCCCTTCGGGCCAGCCGGTTTTGGACCTTATATAGGCCTTCCCGAACGACGTCGTTTCGGGAAGGACTATGCGTGTAATTAGATAATAGTTAAACCCCGTCCGCCGTCCTCCGAATTTGTAATTTTTACATTCTAGTCACTAAATCGATTTTATAATACTTTTAATTAAGATCTTTAATTTTAATTTCTTTTATTTTAGTCCTTTATATTAAAATAATATATTTAGGATAAATAACAGATTTAATCCCTTAATTTTAATAAATAATATTTTAATCCTTAGTTTATATTTTTAATTTATTTTATTCTAATATCCGAATTTTAGATAATTTTATTTTAATCACTAAATAAATAAAATAAAGAAATAGCATGTTTAATCCCTATAATTTTGATTAATTATGAATTAGATTTTTAATTTTATTTTTACTGTATTTTAGTCATTTATTTTACTGTTTTTAAAATATATTGTTTTAGTGGTATTTTTATTTTATTTGTTTATATTTTTAAATATTTTTATGTATTCATAAATATATATATAATAAATAGTAATTTTTAAATATTTATTTTTAATATCGAAGAAAAGGACAGTCTTAATACAACTGGATGTCCTATTCTGATATTTTAAACAATATTATTTAAATTAATATTTATCAATATCAAAGAAAAGAGCTGTCTTAAGGCACCTAGAAGTTCTTTTCTAATATTTTTAAATAAATAAATATTTTTTATATAATTTTGAAATAATAGTATTATACATTAAATATATTTTTGAATTTTTAAATTTTAATAATAGAGACAATTTATAATTAAAAAGTACCAATCTTGGGCGTTGTAGGGGTGTTAATCCTTCCCTAAACGTAACCGACCACGAATCCCTTTTTATTATTAAAAAGAACGAATTTTTGGTTATAAAACGCAGATCAGTTCATTTTTTTTAATTGATGTTTTCTTAAAACTCTTTTAAAGAAAATAATTTTTAGGTATTCGACCTACCTGATCCAAAAGGCCGATGGCGACTCACAAATTATTTTCAAAATTATTTATTCACATCAATTTCCCTGCCAAGTATAATATTTCATGCCCGGACGAAAACCGGTTACGACAGCTTGGCGACTCCACTAGGGACTGGTCAAACTTTTAAAAATCAATTATAAATTGTCTCTATTAATTAAAAATTAAAAATTTATATATTTAATTTTTAATTTTTTCTTTTCAAAATTTTTATATTTTCATAATATTTATATGTTTTATTTTATTTGCAATTATTTTATTTCATTATTTATTTTGTCAGAGGTTTGAACATTTCTCCTCACACACAACACTTGCATTGCATAATATAAAGCTCTATAATTGAGTTGTCCCTTTTAAGTGGGAGTGAAAGCGACGTCTTCGTGAGAATTTATTCTCCGTGTCAGACCTAGCAAGTAACTTTCGGGGTTCATATGCTCTATGTCTTCGTGAGAATTTATTCTCCGTGTCAGGCATAGAGAAATGTATCCCCTCGAATTGAACTCGATCCATTTTAGTCTGTGATGGACTAGGGTTGAGGGTTAGTAACCCAAGGGGGCACTAACAAGGACAATTCGGGTACCTTTATTCTTAGATCTGAAACCTTGCATATAAAAAACCCTAGAAACCCTTCCGATCTGAAGTCATGCCAAAATTTTGTCTAAAATAGGTGTACACACAGGAGAAATGAATTCTAACTTTCTAGTTTATTTATTTTACTAATTAAATTACATGTATATTTAAATTATTTAAAGCATGTCTAAATAAAAAAATATTTATGTAAATGTTATTATTGAATTTTTTTATTATGTAAACTAATTTATTTTCTTTTTGTGTGTTCTTTATTTTTCTGTTTGCATAGCATCATACAGGATAAAAGGCATTGATCCTTGTGTTAATTGTCTCATTGGAAAGCCTTCATCTATGGATAAAAAGTGTTCAAATCAAGTAATTCTAAACTCAGAAGTAAGACAGTGGGCTGAGGACTTACAAAGACAAGAAGGAGACAGTCTGCATGATGATTATGTATCTGACTTGGCCAATTATGCTCCAGTTTCACTAAAAAGAAATGATATGCAAGATTTGCGAAGCATTTGGGAAAGTTGGGATTCAAACAAAAAATTGCAGTTTTATCAGACTTACGGAGACATCCCATATTTGCTCTATGTTGAAGTTGATGATGAATTACTCAGAGCCCTAATTCAATTCTGGAATCCAGGGTACAATTTCTTCACTCTCAATAAAGAAGACTTGGTCCCTACTATTGAAGAATACACAACTTTGCTACATATAGATGGGGCTTTGGAGAATCGAATCTATTCAAAGTCAATTAAAACTCAACCCTTTCGAGTTAAATTAGCAAAGATTGCCGGGGTACGAGAAGAATGGGTGGCATCCCGTACAAAACAAAAAGGCGAAAGCGAAGGCATTGCTTGGACCAACATTAAAGAACTTATTCAGAGTCATCCAGATATTAAAGTATGATTCGATTTATTTGCTCTGGGTATGTATGGTATGGTCATCTTCCCAAAAGTATTGGGATATGTTGAAGCTGCAGTGGTAGATTTGTTTGAACAGCTACCGAAAAAGATTAATCCTGCTTCTGCAATCCTAGCAGAGACCTTCAGATCGTTAAATGCTTGTAGAAATCTAGGAGGTGGACGATTCTCAGGGTGTACCCAGTTGTTATATGTTTGGATCCGTAGTCATTTCTGGAGGACAGAAAAGGTTTCATACCGACGCTTTAATACGGATTACTCACCATTAAAAGAATTTCTGGAGCAGGAATGGCCGAAAGAAATTAAGAAAGATATGTGGATTAATGCCTTTCGAAATCTGCAAAGCAATGACATTGTTTGGCGAGCCCCGTGGCAAATACAAAGGGAATTCTTTTACAAATGTGGAGATTACAACTGGATAATGCTACTCGGATTATGGGGAGGAATTGGATATGCACCACTTCTGGTCATAAGACAGTATGAAGGTCGTCAATTTGTACCTGTCACTACTGGATTACAGTCATCTGAATTCGCGTTCCACAGCAAAAATTATAAAAGAAGTATCATGGAAGCCGTTACAGCTTGGAAAACAACTTTTTGTATCCGAGCTAAAGCAGCAAAAGAAATGCTAACTCCTGATTATGAAGAATGGAGATCTGTCAGGAAAAACGAAAATATTCCTCTACCAGATCAAAATGAGGATATATCTATGGAAGATCGCATTAAGGTGGTTCCGTCAGAGATTGAAATCTTGAGAGCTGAGTTTGAAACAGAAAGAGAAGGCTGGTCGAAAGAATTAGAGCAAATGAGACAAGATAAAGCTATGTTGGGTGTGGACATTGACTTTCATTCATCACAATGTGCAATGTTGAGAAAAGATAAATAAAAAGGTGATGATGAATTCAGAGCATTACAGAAAAATTACCAGGAGTTATATAAATCCCAGAAAGCATCAGGATCAAGCCAATCAATGGTACAGATGACTAGAGAGTTGAACATCGAGAAAAGACGAGTTGAAGATCTGAAAGGAAAGAATAGCCGTCTACTCAAAAGCCTTGAAAAAGGAAAGCAAAAAATGGAAGATTTTGAGGTCGACAAAAGAGAGCGAATTATAAAAAACAAGGCTGAACACCGCGAGATCATGAATGAAAGAAAGAGATCGAGCCAAAGATTTAGAAGAAATGAAGAATGACATCTTTAATAAGTTTGAATGTGAGAAAAATATCATGTTCAAGGGATTTGAATCTGAAATGAACCAGTTGATTGCTGAACTTGAAGTCAGAGGCCAAAAGATAGAAGAATCCAATGTTGAAAAAGAAAAATGGGAGCTGGAAAGAAAAAATTTCAACACCAGACTTGAGGTAGAGCAGGAGGTGGCTAGCAATTGGATGCAAAGATACAGAAACAAGGATGTTCAAATCCAGAAGCTTAATCAAAGAACGCAAGAAGCACGAACAAAACTTGAAGAAGATCTGGAT